TCAGCTTGGACGCCGCCGGGTGGGAGGCGGCGGGGCACGGGTCTCCAGCGCCTCAGTGGCCGGGGCTGGGGTCCGGCGCGGGGCAGGGCTCGGCGCCCCGGAGGCTCGCTCCGTGCGCAGTTCCCCCCCGTTCCCCCTCATCCGCCTTTGTGTGGATCCCGACCCGCCGCTCCCGGCCGCGGGATCCGGCCGCCGCGCGGGCCAGGCGCTGCCAGAAGCGCCCTCCCCGCCGCGGCGCTGCCCCGGACTCACCCTCAGCGAGCACAGAGTCGCCCAGTGCCCGTCCGACTCGCACTTGCCCCGGCGCTGTCTCTATGGAGCTCAATGTACTGCAATGGCTGTGAGAGCGGGAGCCAGACGCAGCCTCCTCACTCTCTCCGCTCTGTAACATTACTCTCCAGCCAGCGCGCCTGCTATTGGCTACCGCCAACTCACGGAGCCCGCTCATTGGCCTGCTCCCTCCCATTGTCCTGACCAGAGCCCGTCGGCTATTGGCTGTCTCCGGGGACACGTCATCAAGGATTGAAACAGCGCGCAAATCTGAATGTGTGTGGAAGCCGGGCAAAGAGGCTGAGGCGGGAGAGGCAGAGGCAGAGGCAGCAGCTGCTACGGGAAAGCGAGCTCTATGGTGTGTGTGCATGTGTCTAACCCAAGCCGGCCCCACGCCGGAGCGGCCGCCGGAGCGGCACGGGCCTGACTTTTTCACAAGGGTCTCCAACTCGTCGGACAAAACAGACACCCACAGGCCTCCCCCCCCCTTCCTACCCCAAACTCACCTCCAAAACCGTTGAGATTAGAGGCCCCAGATTTTTAACAGAACTTCAAAAGTGACGGCGACAGGCTGAGGTCGCGTCCCCTGAAAACTGGGGTTCCTGCTAGTGCAGAGGGGCGGAGGCAGCGAAGATTCGGGCCCCTCAACAGCATATGCTTGCATTACACTAGATCTCTGCAAAGGCAGGACTTTTCCTATAAGAAAGTGACATGATCCAGTCGGCCGGTTTTAAAATGCCCCTTTTTCTGGGCTCATAAACCGTAACGTCAGGCTTGCTGAGCAGCTGAAATCTTGACTCACTGCACGGGCATTCAGTTTCACCCTTTTTGTTGGTTTGATCGAGTTTCACAGCATGTCTAGAACTTTTTATTTAAATACAAAGCACTGTCTTAACTTCCTGGAAATCAAATAATTATTCCATGTAATTAAAGCACTGTTATTTCTTTTTGATATGGGGTACTCCAGCAGGAAATGTTTGTGAGGGCCTGCTAGAATTAGCAAATTCATTAGAGACCACATTTTTAACTGTTTGGCTATTTTATTTGACTTGGTGTGGATTACTGTTATAATCAAACGAATCCTTGTGATGCTATCTTCCCCTCCCATCACACCACTTAGTGCATCCATGTACCTGCTCTAGGATTACAGGAGCTGTAGGTATATGGTTACCTGGAGGATTAGATGCAAGCACAGAGTGTGTATGCCCAAATCCTCAGGCTGTGCTTTCTCTAACTCACCAAGCTGCCTGGTAGTAACAGACATACTTATTATGTCTGTAAAGAAAATGTGTCAGTTCTGAAGAATATACACATACATCAGTCCTTTATGGGCCTATTATCTAGTCCTCCTTGGCCTAAGCAGACCACACCCCTATTCAGTTATAACAGACTTCCCCTTTTTCACCCTCTAATGCTATGGCTATACATGCCTAAAGCCACCAGCCAATTCCTGCAAATGTAACAGATCAAAGTTAAAATAAATCATTTTTTGGAGGTAATTTTATTTCTTCTATCCACTCTAAACATCCATAACCTAATATATTTAATAAAAGTTATTAAGCCCTTTGAGAATAGGCTTAGATAGCCTTTCCTGACCCATGGTTTTAATATATATTTTTTTAAATACATAATTGATCTCAGGGATTCCAGTCTCCGTGAATGGACAATACACGACATACACACATGAAAAAGAGTATAATATTAAAGAATATATCAACTAGTATAATGCAGTCAGTACTTAAAAAGTCTAAAACATCTAAAGTTAACTTTTAAATTGTCATTTCTGCCCATATTTGCTCTTCTCTATTTCCCTCTAATCAAATTTAATGCTTTATTTAAATCTAGACATTTATTTCAATTCTGATTTACATCTCGATGCCTATATTACAAAATATTCATGAAAATGACTGCTGCTTTAAATGGCATCCATGACATCAAAATTTGACTATTATTTGAAGATAGCACTATCAATATTTTCCAGAAGCAGTGCTGGATTTGTACTGGACTAAGCACACACTTTTACCAATTGTAATAGCTTTTTTTTTGCCAGGGTAAATTTGTGGTCACAGAAGAACCTGGGAGCAATGGACCCACACAAGTTTCTATTTCAATAGAATGGAATAGTGAGTAATAATAGGCCTGGATTTAAATAGACCTTCGTTCAAATCCCACTTCTGCAACTTACAAGCTTATTTTAGGCAAGTTTTTAAATTTTGCTTCAATTCTCCCAGCTATAAAGATGATCAATCACAAGATTGTTGTAAAGATTAAACTTTTTTCCCAAAGGTTTAAAATTGTTATGCAGATCCATTCAAACCCATGACTTAGAAAACCTCAAAAGCTGTTAACTTTGAGGTTTTTTTGTCTTATTTTAATTTTATATGAGGGCAGTGGTTGCAAAACTAGCTAAACTATTTTTTTTTTAATCCTGGCCTCAAACAGCACTAATCCTCATTTAGTGATGGTGCTTTCATTTATGCCCAAGTGTAACAGAGACCATGTCAGAGACAAGAATATAAAAACCTCCACTTATAGGCACAATATTTCTCACATTTGTTTTTCCATGATAAAGGCAGGGAGGGACATACAAAGGAAAGAAACTTTGAAAAAAACCCTATAACTTCGAGCTCTAATCCTGCAAACTTGATGTTCATTTATTTATAATATTAGACCCTTTCCTTCTTCAAAATGAATCATTAGCCACAAATTTGGCATATATTTTACTTTCGAATTATTGGGTGTTTTATCCCAAGTTACAAAGTTATCTAATTCAAAAAGCCAAATGAATGACAGATCTTCATTAATATAGTTTATGTTCTTCCTGAAGGCTGCTTTGATCACCTCTGGGGTAGATGAGGTGCCTCTTTTCTGTGCTCCCATAATATTCTGTATATTAAGTCCTGGGCTCACAATTGTAATTATCCAGCTATGTGTCTGCTTGTTCCACTGCAATGCACCCCTTAAAGTCAGGGACCTCCCTTGTCTTTGTATCCCAGGCACCTAGCAGGTGCCTGGCATATATCTGGCATATAGCAGGTACTAAATAAAGTCTGTTGTATAAACTGATTAATAGCTGAAAGAGTACTTACTGCAAATTATTGTTTTAAGCTTCCTCTTCCATCTTTGGAGATAAGCATTTGGGTCTCTAAATCAGAAGGCAGGAAAATAGAATAATAAGTAACAAGTAAATGTTAGGGTACTAAAATTGAGAATAGATGCCAATTACACCTCATTCTCATAACTTAAAAACAGGAAGACAGAGTTGGGGGTGGGGGGCTGCAGGGGATCTCAAATATAGACAAAAATTTAAAAATTTAGTATCTATCAGTTCCCAACTAGGTCAAGGTTATTCCTTGTTGGATACTGTGAAGAATAGCAAGCAAAATAAGAATTTGTTGCAGAAACTACAAGAATGTCTGTCCAAAGGTGGCTTCCAACAGGACTTTGAAACTTAACGCTAATTTAAAAAAATACAAAATGCAGACAGGGGGCTGTAAGTCTTTGGCTGAAGGATATTGTTTCCTCCCAATGCAATGAATCCTAAAGTCAAGCTATGGGAATTCTCTTGTCTCACCTTGAAAAGGGCCAGTTTCTGAAAAGGGATAGAAACAGTAAACCAAAATGTCTGATGAAGTCAGCCATGCTAAGGATCATGCACACTTAAGGCCTTCTCCCCCGTCCCCTCTTTGTAAGGGTGCTGAAAATAGAAGAGAGAGGAATTCGGACAAGAAAAGAGCACAGGTTTTTTAACCCTGGACTACAAGGTAGGACACTGAGTTCTAACCCCCACACCCCGATCCAGCATGCATGGACATTTGGTAGCCACTGAGGTCTGTGCTCCGTTTCCCCAACTCTTAGGTAGGGCTGTGATACCTTCTCTAACATGCAAGGATGTTACAGGACCAAAAGGACAGGCACCAGAGGCAGAAGGCAGGAGGGGAACCTCATCCTGAGCTGTTTCAGTACATCTGCCTGAGCCCGAGTTTTCTATCCTAATATGTCTTGCAGGTGGGGAAGTCAGGGGCTTCAGCTGTGGGCAGCATGGATGGCTGAGGCCGAGAAAATGGTCCTGAAGCTACTTTATGCCAATAATATCTTTAGAATTGGAGTATTTCAGTGGTGAATATGGAAGAAATATCATACCTTTTCTTAATAAGATGCCTATTCTCTGGTTAGTCAAAGAACGATACACATGAAGAGGGAAAAACTCATTAGCAAAATTTTTTATAAAACAATGATCTAAATTCAGAAAAGGTCACTATTTTAGGTCTTGATCTCACGAACTGCATCAACAGATCAATTTCAGCTGCCCTATTAAAAGTGCCGTAAATCTTAAAAATAAATGTCTTAGCACCTACAAGATTGGCTATAATCAAAAAGACAGACAGCAGCAAGTGTGGGTGAGGATATGGGGGAATTGAAACCATCAGACATGGCTGGTGAAAATGTAAAATGGTGCAACCACTTTGGAAGACAGTCTGACAGTTCTTGCAAAGGTTAGACATAGAGTTCTTATATGAATAACCCAGCAATTCCACTCCTAGGTGTATATCCAAGAGAAGCAAAAACATGTCCACACAAAAACTTGTACATGAGTGTTCACAGCAGCATTATTTGTAATAGTCAAAAAGTGCAAACAGCCCAAATGCCCATGAGCTGATGCGTGGATAAGTAAAATGTGGCATATCTGTTTGACTGAACATTATTCGACAATAGAGAGGATCCATGCCACAGCCTACATGAACCTTGAAAACATGCTAAGTGAAAGAAGCCAGCCACAAAAGAACACGTAGTGTACGGTTCCACCCAGAAAAGGAAAACTTATAAAGTAGAAAGTAGATTAGTGGTAGCCTAGGGGCTGGGGGTTGAGGGGGAGGGGAGTGGCTGCTTATGGATATGGGGCTTCTTTTAGGGGGACAAAAATGCTTTAAGATTATAGTAACAGTTGCACAACCCTGTGAAGATGCCAAAAATCATTGAACTGTATGTGTGTTCATTATATCTCAATAAAGCTGTTTTTTAAGAAAGGAATAAATGTTTTACGAGTGGTTTTGTTTAACTGAACAAACACAGCAAGGGACTACTTGCCAGTTATGCCTAATTCTTTCCTGCGGCCCATGGCATTTAGCACCTTGTGAAAATGACGGCCTTCTTCATTAGGTGGAAATTTCTATGACTGGAATTATATATTCTGTGCTTACAGTGTATTTTTGCTACAAAATAATAGTAAAAGTGCACTTTTCAGGGGTACCTGGGAGGTTTTTCTTGAGAGCCTGGAGTGACCGTCCTAAGTCAGCCGTGCCGGGACGGGTTAGGCCGGGCAGTGCTCACCGACAGGTCTTTGGCCTTATCTGACACACAAATGTTTCATGTAGCCAACACTGTGTTTTTAAAAGTTGGATTTTTGCACATTTTAAAAAAAATCCAGCTATTTAACCTTTTTCTGGGAAAACTCAGAGATCTGATACGCTTAGATCCACAGTTTGGCAGGGTGACAATTGTGTGAAGTGAAGAGGGGCTGCCTCCCTCACAGGGGGTCTGTGTTCCGTAGTTTGCCATGGTCCCAGCCTGTTCCTCCACATTCTACCTGCCTTCTCACCCACTCATGTCACCTGCCTGGCCCCTGTAGACACCTGAGCTTGCGAGTCCTGAGTTGGGGGCTTCAGTGCTTCCTGACTCAGACCTGCGATTCTGAATTTTTTGTGGTCAGAGATTCATTTCACAGGAAGCACTTATCATCACACAGCACACAGAGTAGGAAACTGAACTAGAGGGGTCCCTCAGGTGACCAACAGAGCCACAACAAAGGACAACACTTCTGGTGATGTCCTGGGTAGCACGTACTCTGGTGAGGAGTAGCGTGTCCCGCTGTGCTGCAGAAGATGTTGTACAGCCCAGACAAGAGACTAGAAAATAAGCTTGATTTATCATGTGCCTATCATGTGCTGAGCACAATACACAGATTATGTCAGTTAATTCTCACAGTGATCCCCCAGGCCAGGATGCTTATCTCTCTTTTACAAATAATGCTAAGGAGCCTCAGAGACATCCCTTAGGTTGTCCAAGGTGACACAGCAAGTGAGAGAGCAATGATATTGACCCAGTTCTGACTCTGAAGCTAAAGTTTTCTCCACTAAGCCACATGACTTTCCAGTTAGCCTCACTAATAAAATAAAAACTGATCACATTTTCCCACCTCAGCATACCCCATATCCTTATGGGAATCCTGACATAAGTTTACAGCTCTGGCTTTCAAGGTTGCAGACTAGGGCCCATACATGTTGCATATACAAAATTTGAAAAAAAGCTTCATGAAATAATACCTACAATTATTATGATGGAGTCTGATTTTTTTTCTTAAAATTTTAAATTTACTTCTCAACCCGCCAATGGGTCCTGCAGTTTGCAAAAACACTGCTTTAGAGCTATAGTAAATAAGGCCAGGTTCCCATCAAAGGGGACAGCAGCCCTTGCTGACAAGAGCAGGCACTGCAGGCTGACTGGACAGGACTGAAGAGAGCAGCAGGCCAGGAGAGGTGCCTAGCACCCAGAACCCGCAGCCAGAGCTCCCCAGCACACCCAATAAGGCTGGTGCCAAGACTGCTGGACTGTCTCAAGCCCAGAGAAAGACTGAACATAGGAAATAACAGGGTCTGGATCTGCCAGTGAGCAAGTTCCCCACCTCGGATTTGCCTCTAAGAAAAGTCAGAGGCCAAGTGCATGAGGCCCTCTGCCAGCTGAGAGCTGGGCTGGATGGGAAAATGGCCTCATCTCCCTGTCTTTTTTTTTTCCCCCTCAAGTCAAGTAGTTGTTTCAATCTAGTTATGCAGGGTGTTTTTCCAGGACCCAAGCTCCAAGTCAAGTAGTTGTTTCAATCTGGTTGTGGAGGGCGCAACTCAGTGGCCCATGTGGGGATTGAACCGACAACCTTGGTGTTAAGAGCGCTACGCTCTAACCACTTGAGCTAACCGGCCGCCCCTCTCCCCGACTTTTTAAACAAGACGGTTCCAGGTATTTTTGTTTAAAAAACACTGAGTGCCCAAGATGGCTTGTGGATATGAATAGAAGATGACTGTCAGCCCATACCTGTTGTTCACATAGGTGTTAATAATTTTTTTTAAATCAACAACAAAAAATTATATGCTTTTTCTGAAAGATTGCTGTTACTTGTTCTAAGGTTTCCTTTTGACTTCCAAAGACGGAAATAAGGAAGTAGAAAGGAAATAGCATGGCTTAGTGTATTTTGACATAAGTAATACCAGCAAGCAGATATTCACATTCACAAATGGAACTCTGTCTTGGAAATATTAATGGCATTTCACCAGTGGTTTGACTCCCAGGGAATATTTAGAAAATAATCAGAAATAAGTAAAAAGCACAAAGGTTTGAATAAGTATATTAATTGTAGCATTATCTAGAATGTGGAAATAGCCTAGAAGTCCAATGAAAAAGGCATGGTTAAATAAAATTTGGTCCATCCTTATGATGGACTACTATTATGCCATCATCAAATTATTATGAATACTAAAAATATTAATATAGAAATATTCATAATATCTTATCATGACAAAAAGTATTTCCAGAAGGATTCCCTTGATTGAAAAAAAGTATGTACGTGAATCCAAAAAAGACTGGAAGAATACACTAAAATATATCAATAGTGTTTATTTCTGGTGAAAGGTAATCATTGTTTTCTCTTCATGCTCTTCAATATTTGCCCAGTTTTCTACAAACAACTTATATTACTTCTATAATTAGAAACAAAAAAATTCCAATTTTTAAGAGAAGAAATGTGCTAATAAAGACTCAGAAACTTAGATCATTTTAAAAAATTCAGACTTCATTACTCTACAAACTCTCCCCTACAAGGAGATATACAACATTCATAAAAATCATGCACATTTATTCTAGCCCCTAAAGTCAATGTATCTCCAAGGGGACCACCCTGAGAACATAAATCAGAATCAGGTAACTGTCTACTTGAGCAACTTTTACCTCTCATCTCTACTGACGTGTCTTCTTTAACGGCTCTTCCTTCTTCCCCCATAATTCAGTCCTGAATCGTCTTCTCTTTGCTTTCCTGCTCTCTTAAGACCTAGGTGACCAGCACCCAGGGAGCTTTAACCTCCATCTATGGAAAGGACCCTAAGCTTCCCTTTCAATCTGGGCTCCATCCTGGACCCCTCCTCTTAACAAACCGTTTCGCAGCCTTGCCTGTTTGCTCTCTAAACCACACCTCTTTCTGACTGATTTCCTTCCGCACTGACTTCCCACCCTGGCTCCAGTTCTGGGGGGTCTGTGATTCCCCTTCTTCCTCTTCCCTCACATCAAATTCTGTAACATCTATGTCACACTACTTTTGAATCATTTCCTTTTATTGATTTTTTTTTTCCATTTCTATTGGCCTCCAACTCTGGTTCTGGCATTTATTATTTTGTGGTTTAGAATGGAGGCTTTGGAACCAGACACCCATAGTTTAAAATCCTGGCCCTGGCCCAACCTAGCTGTGTCACCTTGGGCAAAGTGAACTAACCTCTCTGAGCCTTAATTGCTTCTGTTAAATGGATAATACCCATTTCAAAGGGAAGCTGTGAGTTTAAATTAGCTCATGAAAGAGCTGAGCCTAGTATGCAAATTGCTTAGAACATTAAATGATCAACAGATGTTGGCTGTTTATTTTAGATTACTTTAAAAATTGGTATTATTTATATTTTCCTAATGCATACAACTTCACTGCTTAAAAACTTTCCATTTCATTACAATATTTGTTCCAAATTAAGTACAAAATCCTCACCTGGCCTTCAGGGCCTTCCCTAAGAAGGCAAAATTTCTCTCTTGCTTTCCCTCCCCACTGTTCTCCTAATTTCCAATCTAACTGGACCTTGTAATGTGCTGCCTTCCAGCTCCTGGTCACACTGCTTCTTTCACTTGTAGTGTCCTTTCCCCACCTCTGCTGCTAAAATCCAAACTGTTCTTTAAAACCTTCCCAGCTTTTATTAATTCCCAATGTGATGAGCTTTCTTTTCTTTCGAACTCTGTCGATATTGGTTGTACCTTTCTAATGGCTTGTATAGTGTTATAAATATAACAACATATTATTATTATCTATTTTATACCTATCTAAATATATTACATATTATGTTGTCCTACTCGTCTTTGTGACTGCAGCACTCACTCATCATAGGTCCTCAATAAATGTTAGCTGAATGTAAAGGTCATGTTCGATTTTCTGTCCACACCTATCACATTGTTGATACTCAATTTTAATAAACTATGTCCAGAATTTGCTTCCCTTCATAGATTCAATTACATTCTCGTATGCTGACTTTAGGAGCAAAACGTATTGTCGAGTTATCATTTTTGGTGGTCAAAATCAGTTGATAGCGGCAACTTCATGTAGGCTGGCCCCCAACCTGGTGATTTGGGGCAATGTTTTTATGAACTGCTGTTTTAACAGATTTTCTTTTGCAGTTTTTACTATGCGAGGTGTTCATAAGCTTGTAAACATATTTATATTTTAATTCATGTATATTATTAAAAACCTTTAAAGTCAAACAATAACACCACGTTTCTGAATAGCTGCGTTTGTATGGCAACAAAGATGCTTTCTGAGGTTAACATACATTTTTTTCTACATATTACCAAATATCACGAACGTTCATAACTCCCCACCGCAAATGTTACTGTCCTTGCGTAGAAATTTACTTTGACACCAAAAATGTGTGCTCGTTGAATTCAATGAATTCAATCTGGGTTTTAGATTTGGATGAAATCAGTTTGGATTGGCATGAAAGGACTCCAGATTTAAGGGGCAGGCGCTGTGTGGGGGACATGGACTCCCCTGGTTAAGCTGGGAGTGTTGGAACAGGGGCAGTAGAGCAGGCTGACCTCAAGGCCCTAGGAAGGACCTACTCCTGTCATTTGGTCTCGCCCACCCATTGCTATGGTTCCTAGTACTGTCACAGTCTCTCCCTCTTCCTTTGCTCCCTCCCACCTCCCCCACCCTGTCTCTCAACAATGGTTCCTGCTCCAAGAACACAGCAGTGCTTAAAGCACCTCATTCCTGGGATTTACAGTTGCCAAGTGGCTTTGGGGAACAGGCTTTTCTCAAGCCCAGGCATCAAAAGGCACTTATTTCAACACTTCAGGGAAAAAGAGTAACTGAGGAAATTAATAATCTCACCCCAACCAGAAGAATGGATTTTTGTGAGGCTATCTCTATGGTTTCCTGCCTATCTTTTTAAAGAGGTGTAATACTAGTCTCTTGACTCTTTTTTCTCTTGTGTTTTCTTACTTTACCGAAAGAAATGTAAATTTTTTTGCGGTAGAAACTACATCCTGACCTAAGTATTATAGGGTAATGCGTTGTCTTCCAAAGCTATGTGTTTATGAATGACAAAGAAGATTCTTACGTGGCTATAAATTCTTCAGTGGCTAAAACGAAACTTTGTATCTTTTTCAAAGGGATATTTTGATGGAGCAAAATAATATAAATGAGATTAGAAGAGGAAATGCTAGAGCAACAACGGAAGGAAGGAAAACATGCCAAGAAGGGGAAGGGGGAAGGCTGGAGAGCTAGAAGCCAGGGCCAAACAGTGTTCCACTCAAAAATGTTCCGAGTCTGTCCAACATCTGAGAAAGGTGCCTGAGGGAGTTTGCGGGCCTCAAACGGAGGGTTAGATGCTATCTACATCCAGAAAGACTTACAAGAAAGAATTGACATGCCTATCTCTCAAAGCTGTAAGATTTGGAGAAGACTCAAGACAGAAGACCTGCATTTTTCCAAAGAGAGATGCCGATCACACCACAGCTTAGAACTATGATTCAAGGACAGACTGGTGGGGCAGTCAGTCTGTGAAGGAAGGGGAGCTGCTGTGTTACCCTTTAGATCAGCATTCCAGCTTAGTTCAAGTATTCTGGGTCTGAAATGTGCTACTGTAGACATATAGTATTGTCACCAGCGACAGGCTAACATTTCATTGGTAGTTGAGAAAGAACTGATGTTAGACACTTGAAGGAGCTCTTTGAGGCAAAACTTTCACTTTCTTAGAAAATTCCTACATTTCATTCGGATCCCTTCCCCTTCCTCTCTTTTCTCCCTTTCTCTCTTCTCGTTCTTTCTTTCCATTGCCTAAGGAATTAAAAACAAAACCAAACCCAGCTATTAGCAAGATGGTAAAGGTCAGGGCAGCACAGGGTTTCCTTCGTCAGGTCGAGAAGGCAGTGCTGTTCAGATGGTGAGTGTCCATGGATGGGGGGCGGGAGGGCGAGCAGAAGCTAACGTTTACTGGGCATTACCATTTGCCAGGCATCATAAATGTTTTACCTCATCATAATCCTCAAGACAAGTCCTTGGAGTGGGTGCTACTTTCCTATTTTACAGAAAAGGAAACTAAGGTTGCCTAGATTTATGCAGTTAATCTCTGGCCCTAGAGTCCTTTGCGTGACACCATGCATGGATGTCTCCTTATAGTCTCTGCTTTGGCACTAAACCAACAATTACGAAAACATACTTTTCAAAGGGAGCAAAATGACAGCTGTAGCAAAAATGGTGCAGCACTGCCTCCTTCTAGGGTCCATGTGGGGAGTGACAAAACCGATGTGCTTTACCAGTATTGAGGTGAAGTCACAAGGAACAAATGAATGGAACAAATGACAGGTCAGAGAACCCAGGCAAGGGGCAGCGCCCCAGCACTCTTTGCCCAGAGGTAAGTGGGCCAAGTAGGCACAGAAAACCCACTTCATTCTTAGAACAGTCCCTCGTTGTTCTGGGTCCAGCAGGACTTGGAAGGTGGGCACTGCTTTATGGTGGCCATGAGCCTCAGGACATCACTCTCCTTTGCACTCACTCATCATTAAAGCCTTCTAGGACTTCTCCTGAGCTCAGCTGCTTGGCCCAGGAACGTGAGATTCCTTCCTTTCCCTGACTCCCTACCATCAACAACTCATCAAGTCCTGTGGACGCTCCCTCTTT